TAATAAGAGTAATATTAAAAACTTAGTAGCGGCCGCCATTGTTTGGAAACTGGAATTGGCTGAGCCGTGCTATGATTTCTGGGATATGGTATGCCACGAAGGACACCCGGCCCATCAAATCTGGGGAAAAGGAGGACACATTTGTCGGCCGGATTTGGAGGAGTCTACGAATTTGGACAGCCTTCGTCGTGTCACTGTGACGTAATCGGTCTACAAATTGAGGAGGATGCAGCCTACGTTTTGGGACACAGCTAGAAAGTCATGTCTTTTAGAAACAGGAACAAAATCCAGCAAAGACCTGACACGGCCCTGAGGGATACATCTGGGCCTTCAACTCATCCACTGAAGCCTCATCAGAGGAAGGGTGGCTGTGTGTGGGCTGAGGTATGCCAGATTACACAAGAACTGGACCCAAAATCAGTGACAACAGATATGATGGAGTGATGAATCTGAATTTGAAAGTTTTGATTCAAATCCTGGAGGCTCTGTCGTGGTTTAGAGCTGCAGTGTTTTTGGAGATCTTGTCAAAATCGATGGAATTATCAATGCAAAAAAGTACCATAAGGTCCAATACCATCCAGCAAACATCTGACTGGATAGAAAAACACACAGTGGAACAATATCAGTCATGGATTGGCCTCCCCAGGGCCCGGACATCAATTTTATTAAAGCAGTTTGGGATCATCTAAATTCAGAAACATCCAAAGACGAGCTTTAAATGTCCTTGAAGAAGCTCTCAGAACTATTCCTGAAGACTGCTTAAAGAAATTACAAGAACGCTTCCTTAAGAGAGTTCTGACTGTGCTGAAGAATAAGAATATTTCCCATTTTCCTTCAAAAATGTAAAGAAACCAGAGGTGACTCAAGTCTTTAGCACACTACTGTACGCTCACTTCCTGCTGGATTTAACTCAACTGTGTCCTGCTGTTTTAAAGTAGTGCATTCAGTTTGCAGGTCTGTGCGCTGGTCTACGTGAACACCAATAACCTGGAGCACTGAAAGGAGCTCCAGCACACCACCATTGCTCTTGTTTATTAATCCATTCAAACTAATAGGAACTGAGCTACGAATATTTCAGAGTTGAGCTTCGGTGGTGTTCCCCTTCACACTTCCTTTGGCGCTCTCTTCCTTTGTTGGTGATTGTAACTGCTGAAC